GAAGGGGCCCCCTAAGTTGGGGTGGGGGCTCTAGGCTAGGTGCCCGTGAAGGCTAGCTGCAGGGGGGCGCTGCGCCTCCTCCCGGTGGAAAAGAGCAGGTCCGGTGGACCTCTGTCCCTGTTCGGGGCTCTGCTCTCTGCCCCAGCGCTGTGTCCTCTGGCATGACCACCTGGGCACCTCCACTCTTCCTGCAGCTCCTCTTATCCTGTCCTCTCGCTGCTGAAAGCAGGCAAAACTGGCCCCTGCTCCCCCAATCCCCTGGGTTCCAGCTTCCTCCCTCCTGCCCTCTAGGGAACACACCTTTGTGACTTGGGCTCTCCTCCTGTCCTAGTGCTGCCTGAGTGACAGTGAGGTGGGGGTGGGGTAGAGGGGTGCATAGCCCCCAGGATGGGGAGGCAGGGACACTGCAGTCCCGGTGTTTGGGGGCGCAGTCCGGGCGGGCGGGGCAGGTGGGGCCTGGCACAAGGAAGCACCTGCCTCCAGGAGCTGCCTCTGAGGGCACCGGATGCGGGGCTGTCCGCAGTGGGGTGTGGGAGGGTGTCAGCTGGATGTGAGCTGGCAAGTGGCCCACCCCCATCCGGCCCTTTCCAGGGACCCCAGCGAAGTGCCCCAGGGACTCTGCTCCCTCTTTTGGCCCAGGCCCAGTGGTGGGTCCAGAAGACCTGTCCTCGTGGTTCTGGTTCCCAGGGGACAGCCGGTTCGGGCAGCTGGGAGAGCTGCGTCTGCATTCCAGCCCGGTCGGTGCCCGCCTTGGTAACCAGGATGTGAGCAGGATTTCCCCAGTGGGGCTGCTGCCCCCTCCCAACAGGACAGTGGGATTATCCCATCCGGCCCCTTGTGCCTCTGGCCCTGTCTCCTGCCCCCCACGTCCCACCTGGGTCCTCCTCCTTGCAGCCCCTCACTTTCCTGTGCCAAACCCCAGGGTTCCCAGGAGGCTCCCAGGCCAGGCTTGGGCCAGCATTGGCCCCAGGAAGAAGCGGGCCGCACAGAAGAAAGGGCTCCCCAGCCCACCCACTCCCCACAGGCCACCAACCTCTTCCAGGGGGGCCTGGTGGAGAGGGGGCAGCGGGGAGGGGAGTCAGGAGTCCAGGCGGACCTCAGGACCAGAGGATCCTGTCCTCTCCCCTGCAGTTCTGCTGGGTCTAAGGCAGGGGAGGAAGTGTCCACCCACACGCCGCTGCCTTTGGGCTGCCGAGGAAACTGAGGCCGGGGGTCACGCTGACTGGCCTGGGCGTGAGTGTGGCAATTCCAGAGGCTCAAAGCAGCTGGCAGGGGCCAGGTCCACACTCTGCACTGTGACACACCACTATCCCCCACGCGCGCCCACGCCCACAGGTACACGCTCCCGCACGTGCGCCCACAGGTACACGCTCCCCCGC